TCTCTTGCCTCAGCCTCCTAAGTAGTTGGGACAACAGGCACCCATCACAATGCCCAGCTATTTTTTGGTTAGAGTTGTCATTGTTGTTTGGCAGACTTGGGCTGGATTTGAACCTGCCAGCTCTGGTATACGTGGCTGGTGCCTTCCTTGGCTGCTTGAGCTACAGGTGCTGAGCCAAAGCTTAGGAATTTTAAATTCCTCATGGAGCCTGGATTTGGAGGTACAGAGAGGAACATGTTTCTACCCCTCAGGTCCCTGAGGAACATGTTGGGGTGTCCAACCTTGAACATCCCAATTTTGGTACTCAGGAATAGGGGAGAAACTCAGCAAAACCATTTTGCTGTAAAGTTCAGTAAGAGATAGAGGAGAGGCAGATGCTGCTATTGGGATGGAAGGTGCTGAGTTAAGCCTGTTGAATAGGACTTCTGTGGGGGAGGAACTGACAGAAGGGGTGGGGAGAATGGAGAAACATGGGCTGGGACCCATGGAGGAAGGAATGGTAATACATAAGGCTATTCACTCATTTGTTCAATGACTATAGTGTGTATGTGTGCTGAATCAGAGCCAGGCATTTATGATCACATGACCCAGAGTCTAATGGAGGATAAGAAACCCCAGCTGTTAATTGCCCATTGCTGTATGAGGCCCTGTGCTAAGTGCTTTACCTGCATAATATAATTCAGTCCCTGCAGCCATGCTGAGCTAAACTTGCCTATTATCCTCATGTCACAAGGAGGAAGTTAAATTGGAGGAAGCTCAAGGAACTTGGCCAAGGTCCCACAGCTAAGTAAGCAGCTAAAGAGGATTGAAAGGCAATCACCTCATTCACCCCGTTTTTCTCTTGAAAGCCTCCCCCCATGCTTCCTCTTTTGAACATTCTTATTATTGTGCTACTCACCTTGGGCTGTCACTGACTGGGGACTTGTCTGCCTTCTTGTTGTCCTTCCCTCCACCCCGCAATGGTGAGCTGGTTGAGAGTAATGCACAGATCTCTCTTATTTACAGAATTAGTACCTCCTCCAGGAAGCCTTCACTCACCACTTCAGCCCAGGACAGGTGGCACTTCTGGGACCTCACAGCCGGTTGTGCCCCCTCCTTCCAGCCCACTCCTTTGCATGCCTCCCTACCCATCCCAGTTCTGACCCTTCTGCCTGAGCTTCCCAGGCTAGCCCACTCAGGGCTGTCACTGTCTGGACTGTGGGCCCAGTGAAGGTAGGATCTGAAGGTCTCTCTGTTTCTGTTGTGTCCCAATATCACCCAGTACAGAGCTGGGCACAGAAAAGATATCACTGAATATTTATTGCATAAATAAATGAATTCTAGAGTTGATATTATTGTTCTATTTTATTGATGAGGATACAGAATTCCTGGTAATTTAAGTGAACTTGTCAGGTCACGCAACTAATGAGAAAATTATCAGGGATTTGAATTTGAGCAGCTTGAGTCTATGTCCTGTGTTCTTAGCCAATATGTCAGATGGCTAGTGGGCTGAAAGCCAACTTTCTGCGAGGTTGATATCTTCCTATTTTTTCCTCCAGGCTCATCCTTTCCTTCTAGAAATCTTCGAGAGCTTTGGTATAGGGGAAGCGAGCAGGCGGGAGGATGGGGAGAGTAAAGGAAATGGTTAAGAGAGCAGCCAACTGAAGATCTAGGGCTTGGACTGATTCGAAGGTGAGCGTGGAGAGAGTCTTGAGGGGGTTCTCTAGACCCATAGGGGGCAGCCAGAGTCGGTTGCCGGAGGTGCGGGGGCGGAGAAAGGGTGGGGACCAGCCCCGCGGGGGGCGATGCGGTAGCTGCAGCAGCGGCGGCAGGAGTTTCCCACAATGCAGCGCGGCGCGCTGTCCCCGGTGCTAATGCTCAGCGCTGCCCCGGAGCCTCCGCCGCGCCCGCCTCCCGCCCTTTCCCCGCCGGGCCCGGGGCCGGGTCCCCGCCATGGTTCGGGTCGTCCCGGTCCCGCTCCAGAGCCGTCGGGGGGCCTGGGTGCGGCACTCGACAGCAGCCTGCGGGCCGCCGTGGCGTTCAAGGCGGAGGGCCAGCGCTGCTACCGAGAGAAGAAGTTCCGGGAAGCCATCGGCAAGTATCACCGGGCACTGCTGCAGCTGAAGGCGGCGCAGGGGGCCCGCTCTGGCGGCCTGCCTACCCCCGCCCCCGGACCCACCAGCAGCCCTGGGCCCGCGCGCCTGAGCGAGGAGCAGCGGCGTCTGGTTGAGAACACGGAGGTGGAGTGTTATGACTCTCTCACGGGTATGGTGCCGTCGCGGGGCACAGAGGGGCATGTGTGTAAGAGGTGGGGAGTGAGGGGTGATGATGAGCCCTTGGGGCCTTGGTAGGTGGGGAGGCAGAAGGCTGAAGGGCCCAGGGCTGTGGTCTGTTGAGGGAGACCTCAGAACTTGATCAGGAAAGGGACTGGGGGCAGGGGACCACAGGGATCTCTGGATGGAGGGAGTTGGGACGCAAGAAATAGGCTTTGGACTGGGTCTTCGGGGCCCCTTCTCCTGAGTCATTCCTTGCCACATGCGAACCTAAGGTGAGAAAGGTCTACCCTGAGTGAGCCATTCAAGGCCCCGTCCCTCACCTCTGTAAGTGCCCTTAATATCCTGGTCTAATCAAACCTCACGGCTAATCGCCCAAGAGCTTTTGTCTGTGCCGTTTGCGCCCTCTAGTGGCGGCGCAGATTGAGTATATTTTGATCGGCTGCCAGATTCGCGCCCCCGGGTGGCCTGAGTGAGCGTTTAGACCGGTTCGCGGCAACCTGGAGGGCAGGCTCCAGGTCAGGTGGGTCCTGGGAGTGCCTGCAGGCTCTGAGGGTACCGGCCCCCGGCGCCCCCGCAGCTTGCCTGCTGCAGTCGGAGCTGGTGAACTATGAACGCGTGCGCGAGTACTGTCTCAAGGTGCTGGAGAAGCAGCAGGGCAACTTCAAGGCCACCTACCGTGCTGGCATTGCCTTCTACCATCTGGGCGACTACGCACGCGCGCTGCGCTACCTGCAGGAGGCCCGCACCCGAGAGCCCACAGGTGAGGGGCCGGGCAGGGCGGGGCAGAGGTGAGGTCTGGGCATGGGGCAGGGAAAGGGACTAGAGTCCAGGAAACAAGTGCAGGAAGATCAGAGTAGGGGCGCAGAGTCCTCTGGTGGAGCTGCCTGATGGGAGGGCTGTTCATTAACTGACGCTCCTCTCGCCATCCACCTACTCCCTACACACAGGTTCTTCCACTCACCCACCATTCATTCAGCTATCTCTTCACTGGCCATTCAAACATCCGTCCACCCATCCCTTTCCTGACATTTACCCAACCACTTCTCAAATATTGTAATTGACCCAACCCATGTTCACCCACTCAGCCACTCCTCTATCCACTCACCCACTGTCATCTCCATTATGTCTCCCCAGTACACACACTCATTCCTCCACTTACCAATCAACCCATTCCACACTCACTGATTCATTCACCTTTTCCATCATTCACTTATCCACCTGGGTTGGGCAATGCCAGGATTTTTTTTTTTTTTTTGAGACAGAGCCTCAAGCTGTCCCCCTGGGTAGAGTGCCCTGGCATCCCAGCTCGCAGCAACCTCCAACTCCTGGGCTCAAGCAAGGCTCCTGCCTCCACCTCCCAAGTAGCTGGAACTACAGGCGCCTGCCACAATGCCTGGCTATTTTTCTTGGTTGCAGCCATCATTGTTGTTTGGTGGGCCCGGGCTGGATTCGAACCCACCACCCTAGGTGTATGTGGCTGGCGCCTTAGCCACTTGAGCCACAGGCGCTGAGCCAGTGCCAGAAATTTGATGTGCATGTGTGTGCGTGTGTGATTAGCAGAGTTGAAGAATTGTTCCTTGTCCTTTGGGAGATCATAGGCAGGATGTGTGGGTGTGTGTGTATGCAGGCAGACACACCACTCAAATTTTGTGTTAAGAGCTAATGAGGGCCCAGCATAGTGGCTCATGCCTGCAATCTTAGCACTGTGGTAGACTGAAGCAGGAGGATCGCTGGAGGTTAGGAGCTTGAGACCTGAAGCCTGAATAAGAAAGAGACCCCATCTCTACTAAAAATAGAAAAAATAAGTTGGGCATGGTGGCGCACATCTGTAGTCCCAGCTACTCAGGAGGCTGAGACAGGAGGATTGCTTGAACCCAGGAATTGGAGGTTATACTGAGCTATGATGACATTGCACTCTAGCCAGGGTGACAGAAAGGAGGTTGTTTCAAGAAAAAAAAAAAAAAGAGCTAATGAGGAGAGAAGAGGGATCACAACAGGTATGTGACACAGGTTGTGGGAGCAAAGGGGTAAGATTAATTTTCCTGTTAAGTGGCTTCAAGGACAGAGTTCTCACAGATACCATTGGACAATGAGTAGAAGTGTGACAGTAGCCACTGCAAAGGGGCATTCCTGGCAGTGGGTGTAGCAAATACGAGAAGGATGGAGGTGCGAAATGCCTCTGCTCTGCTGGTTGTAGCTGCAGCTTGGGGAAAAGAGCTGTGACAATACTGGGTGTGTGGGGCACCCACTGGAGACTGGGGAGAATGAGGTGTGAGCCAAGGTGGTACAGATGTCACCTGCTGCCCCCAGTCACCCAGATAATGCCCTACCCACCTTCCCTGCAGACACCAACGTCCTCCGCTACATCCAGCTGACTCAGCTAAAGATGAACCGTTGCAGCCTCCAGCGGGAAGACAGTGGGGCTGGGGCTGGGGCCGCATCTGGGGCTGGGACTCGGGATGTGGTTGGCTGAGGCAAGTGTAGGGGGACTGTCTCTACTCCCTCCCATCTCACATGTAACTTCCCCTAGCCCATGTGTTCACTGGTAAAACACTTGTCACTGGTGACCATTACCTCTTTGTGTGGTGTTCTTATGGGGACTGGGAAGGAGACATGGGCCTGGGCCTCATCTCTTGGACCTGAGAAACCCATGGAAGTCCTAGGAGAGTATGTGGGGTAAGGAGTGTCCCATTGAGGATGACTCAACATCAGAGCCTGGGCCAGGGAAAGACATACAGCCAAGTTCAGTAGGGGGCAGGGGTTACCTTTAATGTTGCATTTTGTGCCAAATCCCCCATGATGCCCTGTCCCTGAGTATCCCTGCCCACCCTCTCCCCAGTGCACGGTGGGCACAGGGCTCCACCCCCTGGGGTACAAAGGAATAAATTAAGTCTCCTCCCTCCCCCCTTCCCCAATAAATAGCATTGAGTATCCTGCCCAGGGACTCCCCCACCTTGTGGCATGGCAGGCTGGGGCGGGGCCTGGGGCGCTACATTCATGGCTGCCCAGGCGGGCGGTGGTGGGCAGGCCTCAGTGGGGGCCATGCACCCCACACAGGGGCACTGTGCTGTCCTGGCTCTGCCCCTCCATGTCCATGTCGAGCAGCGTGGGCTGCATGCTAGAGGGCCCAGGGCTCTCCGGAGTGTCTGGCCTGCTGGGAGGTGAGATGCTGAGTGTCCGGCCGAAGGAGACTAGTTTCCAAGGGTCTAAGCGAGGGCGACTGGCAGCTGGCCGGGGCCTTGGGGCGAAGGTCAGGGTGGTGGGGCGGCCTGGGAACTCAGGGGGCCGGCGGCGGGCTGGGAACAGGGCCTGGGGGTCAGGCAGGCGAGGGAAATCCAGGGGGTCTCGAGGGCCTGGTAAAAGAGGTTCAGATGAGGTGAGTGAGGGTGGAACAGAGGGTGACATTTAAAACCCAGGAGATTTTACAGGGAAAGTGGAATTTTGAGCTTCTGTTGAAAAATCCACAGATCTTGAAAGGCCCACTTTCTATTGCAACGCAATAGCCACCTGCAGCCCAGCAGGGCTTGGACCTTGACTTAGGTCCCAACCACTCCCAGTTGCTCACTCATCTAAGTGGGCTCTGGACATAGTCCTTAATGTTTTGTAGCCAGTTTCTTAGCACCCCTCTAGCCAAAGCCCCCATCCTCCTGAGTCTTCTACATTGGGTCAGAGTCATGCAGATAGATCTATGAGAGACCTCAGACATTATAGTATACAAACAGCACTTCAGCTAGCCTGGGTGGCTCACTCCTATAACTCTAACACTCTGGGAGGCCAAGATGGGTGGATCACTTGAGCTCAAGAGTTCTAGACCAGCCTGAGCAAGAGTGAGACCCCCAGTCTCTACTAAAAATAGAAACAATTAGCCAGGCGTTGAGGCCAGTGCCTGTAGTCCCAGCTAGTTGGGAAGCTTAGGCAAGATGATTGCTTAAGCCCCAGAGTCTGAGGCTGCTGAGTGACAGTCTGTCTCACGAAACAACAACAACAAAAACTCCACAAAACCCATGAAAAACAGCACTTACATAAGTGAGGATTAAATACAATAACAATTGTAAAACAAGCAGCAATCTTCTACCATGGCAATCATCTTTGTCATGGTTAAATGCACAAGGAACAGGACTAGCCCCTGAGTGCTACCCAGGAGTCATTACTATAGTCATTACTGTTACCATTGTTAAAGCCACCTGTCTTGTTTTTTTTTTTTTTTGAGACAGAGTCTCACTTTGTCACCCCCAGTAGAGTCCTGTGCTGTCACAGCTCACAGCAACCTCAATCTCTGGGGCTTAAGAGATTCATTTGCCTCAGCCTCCCACGTAGCACCTGACACAACACCCAGCTAGTTTTTGGTGGCTCACGCCTGTAATCCCAGCACTGTGGGAGTCTGAGAGGGGAGAATTGCTTGAGCTCAGGAGTTTAAGACTTGCCTGAGTGAGAGTGAGACCCAGCCAGGCACTGTGGTGAGCTCCTGTAATCCCAGCGGCTTACTGCAGGCTAAGGCAGCGGAATGCTCACAGCCCAAGTCTGAGGTTGCAGTGAGCTAGGATGCCATTGTACGCTGCTCAGGGCATAGGATGGGACTCCTGTCTCAATAAAAACACCACCAACAGCTCAGCGCCTGTGGCTCAAGTGGCTAAGACGCCAGCCACATACACCTAAGGTGGCAGGTTTGAATCCAGCCCGGCCCACCAAAACAACAACGACGGCTGGAAACCAAAAAATAGCCGGGCGTTGTGGCAAGTGCCTGTGGTCCCAGCTACTTGGGAGGCTGAGGCAGGAGACTCGCTTGAGCTTGAGCCCAGGAGTTGGAGGTTGCTGTGAGCTGTGATGCCACAGCACTCTATCCAGGGGGATAGCTTGAGGCCCTGTCTCAAAAAACAAACAAACAAACAAACAAAAACACACACCACCAACAACCACCAGCAAAGAAACAGAGACTGGGTCTAACTCTGGCTCAGGCTGCTCTCCAACTCAGGTGTTCTACCTGTCTTGGCTTCCCAGAGTGCTAGGATTACTGGCGTGAGCCACCGTGCTGACCCTTCCTGCCTTGTTCTTGCAAGCATCTATTTGCCATCCCTGATTCATGCTGAGTCTCAGTCACCCAGGTACCCACAATGCTTCCAGGAGAATGGACAAGGGAACTCAGATCCTCCCTCCTCCAAACTAAACCTGAGGCTGCCCCCTTAGTGAGTGGCTCGGCTCGGACGTTGGACCTAGGCCCCGGCAAGAGACAGGGCTGTTTTTTTGGATCTGAGTGCGGTGAGGGTGCCTCACTCACCAGGGCAGTGGCCCATGGGCTCGAGCGGCCCTCGCTGTCCCAGCGCCCCGTCCGACGGCGTCCGCCGGTGCCCACGGCTCACTGCACGCGCAGCAGTGACGTGAGTGGGAGTGAGCGACTGGCGCGGGTCCTTCTTGAAGCTCTCCAGCTCCAGGTCCACCAGGGGGTTAGTGCTGGGCGAAGACAAGGACTCGGGCGGGGGCGGGGAGGGCGGTGGGGAGGGCGCGGCCGGCGCGGCCTCGTCGCTGTCCGAGCGCAGCAGTGAACGCGTGGAGTTGCAATCGGAGACAGACGACAGTGACACGAGGGTGGCCGAGGGCGCCAGGCCCGGGCAGGTGGCCGAGTCTTCACGGCGGCTGGGGTGGCGAGCAGGCGGGCTGAGACCCCGAGGGAAGCGGCCGGCGCGGGGGAAGAAGAAGCCGTCGAGCCAGCGCCGCTGTTCCTCGCAGTCTGCCGCTCGCGCCTCCGCCACGTCGGCACCCAGGCCCACGGCGCCTAGTAGCGTGGCGCAACCCAGCAGCGCGAGGTCGCAGCGCCGCCGGACGCTATGTCCCGGCCGGACAGCGGGCGCTGCCGGTGCCGACTCCCAGGGCACCCGCGTCCCCGGGGAGGGCTCGTTGGGTATCGGCACCGTGAGGTAGGACGGGGTCGTGTAGGGGGAAGGGGGCATGCTGCTGCCTCCGTCCGCCTCCGCGAACTCCTCTGCAACCGGAGAGGGGCGTCACTGTATTGCCGAGCTGGCAAGCAGTTGGTAGTAAGGGATAGCCCCCAGTGACCCCCTCCAACAACAAGACCACCACATCCCCACTAAGCACTGTTCTAGAATCTTTCCCTCCCAGTGGGCTCAGGAAAGGGTGCTCCTTGCCTGTGGGAATGACACTCATTCCCTGGGGACCTGCTCTCTCCCTTTCCAGGAATGCTCCTCTCCACTGGCCTAGAGAATCCTGTCCTCTCCCCTCAAAGGGCTTCCCTACTTTGTCCTGGGATATGCTCTCCTTTGGCCAGGGAACGTCCCCCCTTACCCTCTTACCCATCTCATTGAGGCTGGCAAAGCCCGGGGCCATGGGTGTGTGTTTGGGGGATTTGCCCAGATTGGGGGCACTTGATGACCATTGTTTGCTTCCTTCCCCGAGGGTCTTCAGCCTGCAGGCGGTATCAAGAGATGGGGAGGGGAGTGTGCTCAGCCCTGTGGCTGCCTTGGGCTTAGGGTCAAGGCACAGGGTGCAGGGCCTGCACCACCAGCACCTCACCTCTCTTCTCCTCCAGCCCGCTCCTTTTGGAGGGTAGAGCTGGGCCCCCATGTCCGGCCCTTCTTCTTGCCTCCAACCAGCTCTTCTTTCTTTGGGGGTGCACTGCGGCCCCATGTCCCACTGCCACTGGGGCTGCTGCCACTACTGCCACCGCCACCACAGTCCACGGGAGTCACTGGGTCAAGGGAAGCCACTTGGTTACTGGGTCATGGAGAATCTGTCCCTACTGGGCACCCAGCCTTCATGCTCCCCATCACAGATTCCCCTCTCCACTTGTGTGTTTAAGGATCTTTATAACTCCATTCATGACCTTTTCCTGCTATAAATCTTCCCATAACTTGCCACTGCTGTCAAGAAAAAGTCCCAGCTCCTCAGCCTGGCATTTGAGGCAACTTCAAGCTATTCCCTGTCAATGTCCTCAGCCTCATCTGCCCTGCACAGCCCAGCCCTTCACTATGCATTTTGAGGTGCTGCCACCCTTCAGCCTCCACCTCTGGGTAGTTAGTTTCCTGTCAGCTGGTCTTCTCTATGCCTGCCACACTTCAAACGTTCCTTGTACTAGCATTTGCAGCTGCCATATGGCTATTTGTCTCTGTGTCCCCTGCTAGACTGACCTCCTGGGCCAGGTATAAAGCAGGTATCCAAGCAGAAGCATGTAAGGGGGCTGTGAGTGGGGGCAGGGCTGGGGTTAGATGGGGGTAAAACAGGAGTTAGCTTGCACCACTCAACTCATTAGCAAACTCCGATGACTGTGCCTCTGCCATGTAGCCCTGGCTGTGGCCATCTGTCTCTTCCAGGTCCCCTGGTCCAAACCCCATCATCTCATCAGTCTCCCTACCTTTATTTCTCACAGCAGCTGGAGGGAAAATGACAATTAGATCAGCCTCACTCACAGCCCTTTAGGCGCTTCCCTATGGCATCTAAAAGAAAATTGAGACTCCTCACCCTGGCTCTCAAGGCCCTGCATAATCTAGCCCCTATGGATGCCTTAACCACAAAACTTATGCTCTCTCCCAGCTAAGTGTGCTAAGAGTTAGCATGCCTAG